ATATATATACCAAAACCGCCATGGCCTTTAAGCTCGGCCCATGTTGGTCCCCACGTCTTCTCGTCCGCTGATGGCTCATTGTACAGCTATCCAATCACCCAGTCTTAATCAATCGAGATACCAGAAAGTCTGGTGGGAAAGAGCTCAATGGTCTCATTTCTGGTGATGGCTGTGTCGACAACGCTCCGATTGAACAAACAAGTGGCCTTACATGCGGGAGGCCCCTACTTGCATGCATCTCGACCAATGCCGCTTGCCGCATATCGAGATGGTTGCGATGTTGACTTCCAATGACACGCCGCCACAAACTCATCGAGGGGGAAATAGCAACAGGCAGACACACCATGACTGTGAAGCCTTGCCATTGCTGGATATCAACGATGTTGCAACCTCGATTGTCCAGTAATCCGTAGCCACAGAGTCCACCGAAAAACGACTCCTGGCAGCATGCATCACTGTCCAGCCTTGCCGAAAAGATAAATCTCGACAGCCTGCCGCTCGCCGTCCAGCATCGGCAGCGGAAGACGCTCCGTCTCGTCCACGGCCCAATCGTCGCCCTCCATCTGCGCGACGAAGATCTCCTCGGACCAGTGCCGCGGCTTGGTGCCTATCATGACCTTGCTCCGCCAGCCTGACGATGGGCAATCGGGGTGCCTCCTGGCAGCGGCGTGGACCTGTGACAGCGTCTGCACCAATGCCGGGATGGTGTCGACGTTGTACGTGCAGTCGCTGAGGACGACCAAGTCCCAGAGCCTGGACCGCACCTTGGTGCCGAACTTGCCGACCCTGCCGTCTTCCCAGTCCAGGTTTTCGTAATCGATGCTGACATCGCTCCTGTCCGCTTCTTCCGTTGCCGAGGCCTCGTACCGCGCAATATTGGCCCTAACGCGCTCCTCCGCTTCAGGGAGATCCGTCATGAGGATACTGACACGCTCAGCCCTTCCCCCCACAACCGAGCGGAATATCTGCGCCAGCCCTATCCCCAGGGTCCCAATCCCGCATCCAATCTCAAGGATATTCAGCTCCCTGTTGTCTTGTGAGAGTATCTCCTTCAACTGCACCATTCCCGACGTGAACCCAGCCGGCTGCACAGGAGACCGCATGTTCGCTATATGCGCAAGCGTCATCAGCCCTCCGTCCCAGACATGTCTCGCCAGACTGGTGTCGCCAATCTCCTCCTCCACCTGGAGGGCAGACTCCAGCCCCGCTCCCGGGTGGCTAGACAACTTCAGCACGCGGTAACAGACATGCGCCGCATCATCAGATGCCGGTACCAAATCCACGGACACCGGCACTATAAGGCCCCGCTCCCTCCCCGCAAGATTAACAGCACTCCCCGCCACAATCTGCGCGTCAGCAGGCCGGATGTGCAGCTTGTCAATGCCAGACAGAGCTGCGGGCACGGGAAGGTCGAGCTTCAGCACTCGCAAGCCGGACCGCCATGTTGGTCTACTGCGCACGGGAGTAATCTCCGTCCAGATTTCTGATCCTTCTGGACCGTGACTTCGAATCAGGACGCGGATTGGGATGGCGGTGCTGGGAGCGAGGAACGAGTCGCCTAGGTCGGTTGTTATGCTGATTACGAGCTTGAGAGAGCGTCCGGTTTTGTAGACGTCCAGGCTGGGAGGGCGGAGGAGGCGGATGTAGTGCATGTTGGAGTGTGGGTATCTTTCGAGGGGCGTCGGAGACCGCGGAGGAAGGTGATTGGAGTTTTGGTTGTGGTGGTGGTGGTGGTGGTTGAAGAGGAAAAGAATATCTCTTGGCATTTCGCGGTTGCAGATTTAGGGTGGAGCCCTCCGCGATTGCATCCAGGTCCTCGGGACGGCCACTCTTGCCGCTCTTTCCACTTCTGTCCCTCCTTTCCTTCAGAATCCACCAGTTTAATCTATGCTCCTGACACTTGATGTCTCTCTTGCGCACCTTCCATGTCCGGGCATGCGATTGCCTCACAGGGTGCGGCTGGGGCAAGTCGTCTCCGATAAGCGGCCCCACATTCGGCTCCGGGCCTGGCCGGTGGGAGATCGGCTGGCGCCGGGCCTTGGCAGCCTCCTATCTACATTAGAGGTCTGAGCTACCACGCGATGAGACATATAAGTGACTCCCGTATCTCGCAGACATCTAGACCTACAACCCTCGCTTCGTTCTCTTCATTCTCGGTTTTTCTCTCGTCCATCAACAATGCCAAGCACCGACATACTCACCACTGACTGACCACATAAACCCAACCACAATGACAAACCCCAACTCCCCCACAACCCTCCTCTCCACCATCCTCCGCGTCACAGAAGAGCGCATCATCCCCCTCACCCGCCGCGGCGTCTCCTCCGGCTCCAAGCTCTTCGGCGCCGCCATCCTCTCCCGTCAATCCCTGGCTCCCATCACGGTAGCCACCAACGACGAGCGCGTCTCCCCTCTCTTGCACGGTGAGATCAACTGCATCCAGCAGTTCTTCACCTCCACCTCCTCCCCGTCAGACCGTCCGGCAACGAAGGACTGCATCTTCTTCGCCACCCACGAGCCCTGCTCGCTGTGCCTGAGCGGCATCACCTGGGCCGGGTTCAACGAGTTCTACTACCTGTTTACGTACGAGGACAGCAGGGATCTGTTTGCCATTCCGTACGATATCGATATTCTCGAGGAGGTGTTCCGGGTCCCCGGGAAGGGGGATACGCCGGACAGTCTGAGGGAGAGGCCGTTGTATAATCGGAAGAATAAGTTCTTCACGGCCAAGAGTTTGAAGGATTTGCTGGACGAGGTGGAGGATGAGGCGGAGAGGAAGAGGTGGGAAAAGGAGATTGAACGGGTGAAGGGGCTGTATAATGAGCTTAGCGAGACGTACCAGGAGGGGAAGAAGGCTGGGGCGGAGAGTAGTAGTGTGTGGAAGTAGGAGGTGGAGGATGGAGGTGCCGTTGTAAGGGAAGCGGTGATCTTGTATTATTGTTGGCGAGGTATCGAAGCATTACTATGCCCATGGGGGTCCAGGGATCTTTGCTATTGATCCGGTCACATGGAAACGTGTTGGTTCTATAGGGCTCCCATTTCCACATCCCTTGCAGTACTGCTACTGGATGTATTTCAGCAGGCTAATCATACCAAATAGCCACAGCACAGCAGCCCCCATCCTTGATATCAACCCTCGCCAGCGCCTCCGCATCACCGTACTCTGTCCCATGACGTCCCTCCTTCTTCTGTCCCATCTTCCACACCTGCACGTAGCCCGTCCCAATGTCCGTCAGGGCAACCCACTCGTTACTCCAGGGCGCCGGCGAGACCATGTTCGCGATCCCGCCCACGGTGGTAGTCTCCTTCCTGAACATGCGCTTTACTATCACGCCATCGTCGTCGACCAGGAAGGCGGAGATATGCCCGGGAATTGTGGTGTTGATCTGCGCCCGCGCCGTGGCCCATAGGTACCGCGCGTCGGGGGAGAGCATGACTTCTGCCGACCAGTAGTTGGAGGTGTTTTTGCCTGCGGACCGGTTCAGTAAGGTAAACGCAGTTGCGAGTTGGGAGGCAAGAAAGACTTACCGCTAGGTATCAAGGAGTAGCTGTCCTCCTCCCCGTCCACAGCCCCATTCTCCCGCAGCGTGAACGAAGCCACCCGGTTCCCGGCCTCCATAACAGCATACAACCTCTCACCCCCGGGATGCGCAGCTAAATGCCTAGGGTGACTGCCATTCGAAACCGCAAGTCTACCCACCACCTCCGCCCGCCCGTCTTCCGCAATCCTATGCGTCCAAATGGCGTCGCCGTTCAAATCAGCGGAGTACAACAGCTGTCCCTTCCCCCTCGCCTTACCCAACGCCAACCCGTGAACGCCGGATTTATTCGCATACCCCCAACTATCCGCCACCCGATCCAACGTGCCGTTCGTCAAAACGTCGAAGGACATGCCGCACGCGTCCGGACCCGGCCACTGCCCGGTGACGACGCGGTAGGGTTCCACGTCGCTGGCTGCGGCGAAGGCGGAGGTGCGGTTGAAGCACTTCCCCGAGGCGGGGATGGAATTTGAGGGGGTGAGGCTGTGGTTGCTTGTGACGGAGTAGCTGGAAATTTTGGGGAGGTTGTTGGAGGTGCCGTAGATGGTTGTTTTGTCGTGCTGGTATTGGGCGGATTAGCTGAAGGAGGAGAAGGGGAGAAGGGAGAGGAGGAAGGAGGGAAGAGACGGACGTTGAAGGTTATCCAGGAGTGCGGAGCGTCGCCGGTCATGTTGGCCGTGATTTTGAGGGAGAGGGACTCATCGTCGAATTCGAGGGCGTAGAGGGAGGACGGAGGCGTGAGGTTGCTGACGAAGAGGTGGTGTTTGGCGCTGTTTACCTGGGTGAGGAGGATGGCTAGCGTGAAGCTGACAGACCGGGCGACCATCATGACGACCGGGACATATACGCCAGGTTCGACTTCGCCAGACGGTAAATGGAGAGGTCGTCACCATCATCAGTCGTTCGATGGGCAGTCCTGGACGCTTTATATTGTGGGATGTGGTGACATCAGCGGACGGAGTTGGGGCAGGAACCGCGCCAAAGGTCGCACACACCACATTTGCCAGACAAGATAATATATCCCACGTCGTACTACACCTGGAGACCCTGATGCTGCATATGTTCTACGCCAGCTTCCCCAGCCACTGTGCAGATGCCAAGACCGTACCAGTATGGTGTTGCGCTCCGGCTAAACACTTTCCGCGCGTTTCGATAGAACTACGATTAGAGGAACGCTTGCGCTTGGTTGAAGTTAAATGAAGGTTTTCAGGGTTGGGGCCCATTTGCAGCAAGATACCACCCCTTCGAGAACCAACGGAGTCGCAAGCGAAGCACTTGTCTCGGCAGACTTGTACGGATATGCCCCCGGCTTTGACCTCCGCATCAAAAGCATCCAGTTTCTTGCCCAAGTAAACGCGAAAGCTGAACAGCAGCTGCGACTGAGCGTGCAACCCGTCCAAGCAACCCAAAAAGGAAAAGGACAATTAGACACGAGAGCAAAAAGAAGAAAAAAGAAACGTGTGGAGGAGCTGGGAGTCGAACCCAGTACCTCGTGCAGGTAACATGTAACCTGATGGCGATTGACTCGTCAAGCAGATGGGAAATGCTAAGCACGCGCTCTACCAGATGAGCTACACCCCCGGGTATTGTTGAAGCTGCTGGTCGGTATGCAGACATTTTTAGTGTTGTTGCAGAGATTTCATCTCTGCGGGTCGAAGCGGTGAAGACCGGCATCTCCACAGACGCGCAGTGCACAATCCGATGTCGACGGGCCCGGAAAAAATGCTATGCAAAGAAAAGGGAGGATGAACACCGGTTCGAAAACGATAGAAGTCCATCCATTATTCTAAAGCCGCAAAAAGCATCAGCCGACGCCCGCTTGAGAAGAACGGTAAAAGTGTACCAACATCTTCTTGAAGATGTGGGCTGGATGATCAAGTGCGGTTTGTGTGGATCGAACACACGACCTTCAGATGGAACTGGTGAAGTTTGACTTCAGTCTGACGCTCTCCCAACTGAGCTAAACCCGCTTTGATGGATGTCGGGGACGTTATCCTTCATCATCAGGAAACTCAGATTGAGAGAGCTAGGGCAAGGAAGATTGTTTCGCGTTGGTGCGGGATCATGACTCGCTCCGCACGCTTGATGGTGGAGGATGTGGATATTCGCTGGTCTTGGTGTTGAGGGGCGCTTGAGACTTCGGACGGTGGAAGATTGTAACCAGCACCGAACATCCAACATCCTCAGATGTGCCCCATCGTGTGAAGGTGCCAGATGACTGCGGGTGGTCTGTTCTGCGGCGCAACGAATATTGGAAGCACTTCGGCTGGCTGGCTGCCCTCGACGGCGCTCCTACCGCCAGGTCGTTTCTGACCCCAAGGAGTCGCGGACATGCCGCCCTGTTTCCGCGACTGAGGCCTCCAGCCATTCTTGCCGCTCCAGGCGACGAACAGTCATACCTCAGGCAAACGCGTTTCATACGCCCGTTCACGTGCACCGTGTTGTTCTTTTCCCCCAGGTAGCCAGCCACTGAGCCGGGACGCGAACGAACACATGACCTCTCGATACATTTCCCAGTCGACCCAGAGCCATGTAGACACAGTGCGAGAGAACGGCCACCGATGTTTGGTCGATCTGCTTCGAAGAGTCGTCTTCGTCGTTCGTCGAGCCATGCCCTCAACTATTGCGGCTTCGTAGCCATGGGCTCAAGTGCCGGGACCCGACAAGGCTCCGAGGGCTGACGTGTGGTGTACGGCGAGGCTACCCTATAGCCCTTTTGGATGACCGCTCTCAACCTCGATGGGATTCGGAAGACCATCATCAAATGAGGCGAGTCTGACGACGCTTGGTTGCCAATCGTTTCAGCTATGTAGAGAGATGGCCAGGTACGGTTGGATGAGAGACTGCGTGCTCCGAGATGTGTGAAGAGTCACAGGTTCAGCCGCCATGTGACGGGCGTCGAGGTGTCGGAGTGGACTGTGACACACTCGGTGATGTCCAGTCGTCCGTGTGGAGGCAAGTAATAGATCCAACCCAGATGGAGTAACCAGAACCGAACAAGGCGTCGTCGTGGAGCTGGATGTAGCTCCGTCCTCCGAGGCTCCAACGCGTCAACTCTTTGCTGCCTTCACTGCATTCTCGGGCCTGTGGACGGTATCAGAAGCCCGAAAGAACGGTGCTCCGAGCCTTGAATTCTCACCTTCAACCCCCATTCGTCATCCAATACAGCCTACTGTGACTGAACGCAGCGGCCCACAAGGCGAGGTAGTGGCCATGTGAACGAGTGCACGAAACCACGAACATCCAATACCATGGCGTTTGTCATAGGCTGAAACAGAGGGATGAGTCATAATGTTAACAGGCTGTGCGTGACGACGATGGTAGACCGGTCTATCCATATGGCAAGTATAAGGTATCGATGTGATATCGACGACCAGGTCGCAGCCTTGAAATCACAAGTCGTCGGATAGTCGAGGAAGACGTCGAGAGGACTCAGCCACACAAGGCACCGACGGGGTGGTTAAGGTTGTGCCAGAAGTGGCAAAGCCGCCCGTTCCGAGGGGTGGGGCTAATGTTTGGCCATTTCCATCCATGTTAGACGGAAATGCATGCAAACCCCCCTATGACGTAGACCGTCCGAGAGGGCGAGTTCAAACGACATCAGATGACTTGTCGCAAGTCGCTCGTATTTGTCATATCCTTGAGTGACCGAAGATGGGCGAAATGAGGCCTCAATTTCAGGTTGTACCTGCCCAATGTCAAGATCGGATGTCGGGCGGCAAGAAGTCGGCGTCCTTCAGGAGGCAACTTTTCCAAACACCCCAGCCCTGCGAATCGCTGCCCAGTCGACATTCGCACAGAGAACGAACAAACCACGTCTTCCTTTGGCTCAGCAAATGGACTACCCAGCAGGCGTGTCCGTGTTCCCATAGGACTCGAAGGCTCACGGTTTAGCGGCGTGGTTTTACCCACGCAAACGCCAATTCCCAGCTTTCTCTCGAGTTCACGCTTCCGATGGGATGTGAGACCATCTAGTATCAGGTCTGGAAGCGACAAACGTATGACTCGACTGCCTCCACCTTCCCGCCTGTTGGGTACACGCCCCTGACACCGGGGTGGACATCTCCCACAGGACAGCGCGAACCTGCCCATCGCGCTGGTGATGGCAGCAAGCCGCCTGCTGAAGACATATGTTGGCGGCAAGACACATGCAAGTACTATCCGTAAGGTAGCCGGCCGGCCCTGCCATCCCTGCCCTGCGGACATTGATCCTGCAACGAGAGCATCGCCTCATGGAGCCCCAGCAAGACGTCAATCCCCTCCAGCTACACCGTAGTGTGTAGTGTAGACACCGTGACACTCAACATACACCACAGCCTAGCTTCACGCCCTGTTGGATAGCGACCTATTGCTCGACAAGTCCCAGGACGGACTCCGCCCGCCTGCGAGCCGCGATAACTTCGGTTGCCGTGCCCAACCACGACCCCCGAACCCTTTCCCTCTCGTTCTGCGCCATTCCACTCGACGCACAACGAGGAACACCGAAAAACGAAATCCAGGTGAAGTCGGTTGCCTCAGCGATTTCGAGCCCAACGACATGTTTTGCGGGTAGACCGCTACGTCACAGTCCCATATGCGGCGACTGCCACGTATGAGCATGCCGCCAAACGAGCGTCAACGCGCGGGGCATAATCATGCAAGCGCCGTCGCCGGAAATGTCGGTGAGAGGGCCGCTGAGCGAAGTCGAGCCCCTTAATCCGTCCAACAAGGTCTCTCTGCTGTGGCGGAGAGGTGGGGATTTCTGGGTTGATCTTCCACTTCCCGCCATGCGACTGTTGTTGTTGGATGAAGTGTGGTGCAGATGTGGGTAAGGGAAGAAGCATCAGAAGCATCATGCACGCTTGTGCATGCCACCGTCGCAGCGCACACAGCGCGCTAGCAGATCGAGAGGGGGGCCGGCCGACGCAGCTATTGGCGTTCCGTACCGACGGTCTGGTGAGCCCAACCAATCGGGAGGAGCCAGGTGCATATCCAGCTGTGCCCATTGACCAAAGGCGAGACAGCGGCCATAATGTTGGACAGCAACGCATATGAAAGGTGAGGGTTGAAGAAGTGTAGGGCAGCAGAGCATATATTCCCTTCCACTGCGGTATGAGTCACTCGCTACCCCTTCTAATGTTCTGTTGATTGTTAGCTGTTTGACTTCGGCTCCGAGAAACAGCAGCGAAATGAAGGACGACGAAAATTTTCACTGTGAGCGAACGCCGCGAAAAAGAAATAATCAAACGGAGGACGGCTTGTGTGCCGCGGTGACCAGGGGAAGCTGAAAAAGCCACCGGGCCGAGTGGGGTTTCTAGAAGGGGACAGGGGACGGCCCTGGGATGAAATAGGAGGTGGTATTGGATATGGGGACTCAAGGTGAGCGCTGTGATCCACTGGGGACGCTATCATGTTGCTAGTGGTTTGCTAGGCGGACGTGTGGGAGTGAGTGTATTTGAGTGTTGGTTCGGTGGGTTTTTGAGGCCGGTGTTTGGTGCACTGTGTTGTTGTTCTGCATTTTTGCTTGTGTTACAATGTGAAGCTTTGGCATGCTGAATTGGGGACCATGTGTTTGTGTTCGTGAGGTTGGTACTGCTCCCCTTCGTGCAGTGGACAGTGATGGCGCGCGGGCATGTTACACGGGGAGCTCACCTCAAGCAATGGCTGCCTACACCAACCGACAGAGTGGTGAGAGGTGTGGCAGAAGGCCGCCGAAACAGAACCACAACAAACGCAGGGTTTTCTGAGCGACTGGTCAGTGGGCTTGTTGTTTGCCGCATTAAAGTTGTAGCTGGTTCAACAACGGGCCGTTGGGTCGTCGGCAGATGCCAAGTCGAGACATTGACCAGCCATTGTTGTAGGGCGAGATGTTCTTCGTGTAAGTCTGTGGACAGGTCAGAGCAGGACAGGCCCCGTTGTGTGAGGTCGCCAAAACACAGCCGTCATACACGGGTTTGAAATTTTGTTGACGTTGATGGATGTTTTTGTTGGTGGAATACTGTGGTAAGGAAGAAAGGCCAGATGGCGAGGCCTGTGAGCTAGCGGTGGAAATGCCCCTATTGGTTTAGATCGGGTGGTCTAAGTGGTTGTTCAGGTCTGCATGGCCCGGCCGTATGGACATCGCGGGTGGGAGGCGGGCTGGTCTCAGCTCCTCAGGCCTTCTCGGTGCCACTGGGAACTTCATTGTTGTTCGATATGCCGGAAGGTCGTTCTCATGATGCAATGACCGCCATGAACCCGTATGTTCGGAGGCATTTAGCTAAACAGCGACTAGTATGGCTTCCCCACAGCCGGCTAAAGACAACGACGCCAGTAGACGTCTAACTGCTACCTGGCCATATTGAGGTGCTGAATCTGAATGCACATGTGCGTCTTCCGCGATGGCAGGTCGGAAGCGATGCTTGTGATGACTAGATCCGGACTGGACAGGACCCGCCCCCGCAGTTGGCACACATGCAAGTGAGAGAGAGAGGAATAGATCATGCACGAACTGCTTCCGCAAATATCCCGAACCAGACATGCCCGAGTAAATGTCTGGTACATCACGGAGCCTTGTGAAGTGATGGATATTGGTCGGCGCATAACCTGATCCTGGTAGTGGT